GTGGAGATGCATGTGACCCGTACACGGCAGGTAGGAACTTATTAGTTGTATTGTAAATTTTGGCAGATTTGCAGCATCGTTCTTTTTTGGAACCTCTTCAGAACGCCTATTCAACATACGGGGCCATTTCTCAAGCCGGATTTTGTTGCCCTGTAAATCTCTGTGAGCTTGGAAAGTGTTGGAAGCTTAATTTCCGCGCCAATTCTTCCCTTTTTTTGTAGAATGGCGTTCAATGCTAGAGAATGCGAAGAAATCATTCTCAAGAAAAACCTTGTCCAGAGAACTCTAAGTTGAAATTTGTTCTGCCAAAGACGGGCAAGACTTTATTATAAAAGGCCACAACAATGCCGAGGTTTTAGGAAGAGAGGAGCTGGACTCTTGTCCAGAGAGAGCGTCCGAATATCAAATGAACGATGCCTTTGAAGGCGTGGTAATACCGTCCGCAAGCATGGAGGATGTACTACTTTCGCAGCTCAAAAATAGGTGGAGGAAGCGCGACCCGCTCACGACGAGGCTTCGGCCCCGCCCACTGGCCACGGCAACGCCCAACTTTCATCTTCAACTGCTAACTGATGGTGCGGCTCGTCCGCTGCTAACTCACTCCATTACAAATGGGTTAACACAAACAAGTGAGAACTCGTCTGGCCACGCCCTTTCTCTGCCGTATGCAGGTACAAACGCAGTTCGACATAGGGTTATATATGCAGCATTTCGTCCGGGCCTTTTCTTGTTTATTCACTTTTTTGTTGTTCGCCATCTTGTGTACAGTATTTGCTCCGCACAAGTGACCATTTTCGAACGCGGGACGTGACTTCAAAAAAGCGCTGTAATTGTCTAGAAGACTTTCTACAAGACTTTACAAAATGGGTCAGCATATTCACCTGGGTAGGCCTCTCCACTTACGCCCTCGATTTCTGATTCAATATCCCAGGGACACTCACATGACATCATTTCATCTCGGGTTGACAAGGGTTGCTTGATGGGTAATGGTAAGTGAACCATATACCCATCAAGTAATCCTAGTAATCGTAATTCGCCGCGCTGAGGGGCGTCGCGTGCGACGTCGTGCCCACAAACCACGATGGTTCCAGGTCGTAGACGGTGACAACGGCCATTGTAGAACCGAAAATAGTCATAAATGTCTCCAGTTCATTAGTCCACGTGAAATCCGGTGCTCCAATCGACAGGCTAACACGAGTTAAGAAAATGCCGCGCCCATCGCCGCGCGCGCGGAGCGGCAAACGTACACTCCTCATCATTAGCTGAGGGCAGGCAAAGTACAAGTCACTCATCATTACGTACCTGTCGGGCGGCCACTTGACGCACAGCGTCGGTGACGGTTAATGTCAGCTATTTCCGTGAAACTCGCTGCAGCATTCCTCCACTATTCAGCTTCTCAAGCCTTCTAAAGTGAAGTTGAGTTAATATCTGACCAGTTATTGAATTTACCTACACTAATGATCTTCCTTTATTTTTATGTCGATTATTATGCTCTTTTCCTTGTATTTTGCCTTATTTCAGGTATTTATTCAAATGGCTTACATTCTTTCAGATTCATTCAGAGTCAGTACAATTCTAAATTGGTCAGAATAACTCACCTTCCACTTTAGAAGCTTGAAGAGCTGAAAAAGTGGGAATTCGCAGCCGAATTTCATCGAAATCAGCTGATTCACCGTCACCGAGCCGCTGTCGTGTCACATTGCAGCGCGGCTGTGCCGCCCCGACAGTACGTAATGATGAGGACTATACGATTCCCGTGCCCCTTTCGCTTACTTGATATGTTGTTACAGAATGCATCGGCAGATTTCTGACAGAGTACGTCGCAGGCCGGAATCCTCATGGTCAGTGGGGAGTCGGACTTGGTCTCATGAGGGGGTCATCTGTGCTAATTTTCCCATTTCACGCATTTCGTACATACATATGCTCTTCTTCGCTGCGGATGTTGGAGAAGTCAAGGGAGAGTGGTTCCGGCAGCTTTTTTTCTCTCGGCAAGAACAACACTGTATCACATCGCTTTATCAATCGTTTTCCAACAGTTGTGGTCGCCTTACCCGCTTCAACAACTGATGGAAAACGGGGTAGGCGGCGCGCAAACCCAACTCCACTGACACGCCCCTTCATTCGCATCGGAAAAGCATTGCACATCACCGCTTCTCAGAACCATTTACTATTTTTCATAGTCGATCGGAGGTGTCTCTCCTCCCAGCTCCTCTCCCCCCGCCCTCTACAAACTTAAACTTTCGAGGTAGTGGGAGGTCGTACAGAAGGTGAAATCCGTGGCCGTACTCTGAAATCTCTCCAAAAGTCAAGGCGTATCCTAATTCTGGTAACGTTCCACAATCGATGGCCCCAGGTGGACGAACGCTAAATCAGAACAGAATTCTGATCACGAAAAGCTCACACCCCTAACTTTATAACGTGCAGTGCTGAAAATCACGAAGCAGCCTCCCCACTGGAAGTTGGCAAGATGTCAACAGGAGCAGGCGCGGGACGCGCCGCGTCCGCCGACATTTCTGCGCTGCATGTTCCGAAATTGTAGTTCGAAAGTGGCGCCCTCTCCCTGATTCTCAGGCAAGCGTATGACGTCATTTCCATAGCCGTATCGATGACGTCACCGAGTGCGGCTTAATTTTGAATCCATTAGTGGCTAAGTGTTTAGATTAGACCCGTAGCACTGGAGGCTGTCCGTCTTCAATTACCAAATTATTCTGATTGTGGTAGTACATTGCACAATTCCGAACTGTCTTGTGTGCGATGTCTAGCTCTTTTTTTCTGTTCATTCGTGTTTCTTTTACTCAAATGGAACGGATTTTATGCTTTATTTTTCCATTTGGAAGAGTTTGAATAATCTTGACAACTCTCAAGTTTTAAGGTATTGTTTTATGCGCTGCGTCGCATACCATCAGTAGTCGGGAGCAGGTTTTTGTTTCCAGCTGCCAGTCGAGATGTCCATTCAACAGGGAAATGGTGGGCAGGTTAGTGTTTAGATTTAGAACTAGTTATGTGTGGTAGTTTCTACTTTGTTCTATGACAGTTTTCCAAAAATGAAACCGTTAGCATCCATTTATTTGTTTGGTCGTTACGTTAGCGTTCATGTGGATTTCAACTCGCTATTTTGATTTTTGAAAATCATTTTGCTATGCACTCGAATAGATAGGTACAAAACGTTCCCAGGTTTTGACCTAGTTCAAATTATCTATCGAGTAGGCGTTGAGCTTGCATTTTCATTCGCGTTTTTTTACCCAAGATTACTTCTGTTCTTCCCATTGTTTGGTTGAAATAGTAGAGGCAGTAATGTTTCCGATAAGTCGTTGGCTGAGCCTACAGAAGAGTTTGTGTTACCTCAGTGTTTCCAGCTTCGAGTGCAGTTGTTCTTTTTCCCAACTTTGTAGTTCTCTTAGTTACAGATTGATTCTTTCTTTTACCTCCGAAAAAATGAAAAAAAGAAGAAAAAGAAATGTGT